AAAAGGAAATTTACTCACTTGAGCAAAGTTTCAGTAGCCTTAGATGGTCGAGCAAAAACTAATTTGCTTCTGCTCCTTTGAGTCAAGAAAGGAGATAACAGAGAGTGTAAAGCAAAGTGCCAAAAAGGGACATTAATGAAAATCTGCAAAATTAGTATACAAAACAACCATTAATGATCATCACATCACTAAGAACTCGATCTTAGTTGGACTACGCTTTTACCTGATGAGCAAGCTTATATCTTTTAATTGAATTTCGAACTTATAGTTGGTAGCTTATGTCTTATTATTGAAAAGTTAATTTATATGATAAAATAGTTTGATAAAATTAGTTGCTGAAATAAAAAAAATTCAATTTGCTTTATTTGAAAAGCTACTCAAGGGAAATTAAAATTTATGAGATAAGCTCGAGATTTTTTAAAATACTCTACCAAACCAAACTTATTTGGATAGAAGAAGCTTATAAGCTAGAAATTAGCTTATATGCGTACCAAACACAAAATTATCAACAAAAACAGAAAAAAAAATAACTCACATTTTTAGCCACAAATTCAGGATAATTATCCTGAAGAAGAGCGACGGCCTTGTTCACGACAGCCCTAACTTCCTTCCTCGACGAGCCCGAAAAATTCTTCATATCGTTTATCTGAACAAGTGAATTCACACCCCCGGGCCTAAAATCGAGCTTCGCCACTCCTTTCTCCATGAGCTGAACTCGCCACCTCAGAAACCGATCGCGCTTTTCATCCGAACCCAATGTCTTTTCGTAAACCTCTTCTTTCTCCAAAACCCCGAATATATTGTAGCAAATCGGGTGGCCCCGAAAATCAACTCCACTCATATAGGCCACCGGGCCAAGATCCGGCCCGAAATCCTCATCCAAGATTGTATCGATTTTGAAATCTTTTCGCCATTGGAGAGTATTCGTAAGCATCTCGAACGAGTCATCGATTTTGAATTCGCGGGCTTGGAGATATTTTAGTAACGCGACATCTGTCCTTTCGTCTCCTTTGCTCGGAAGAAGGGGAATGCCCCAGATTGAAAACGAGTCGGACTCGGGCTTATTATTATTATTATTATTATTATTATTATTATTATTATTATTATTATTATTATTATTATCGGTTTTCCCTTCGGTTGGTAGATTTTCCGAGCATTCGTCTTTCTTTTCGGGGGATTTGTTGAAAAGCGTGTTTTTGTTAATGGCGTCTTCGAGCTTCTTCTTCAGCTCGTTCAGTGCTTTCTTCTCGTGATCTTTCAAATCGGAGGGAAAATTGGTCTCCTCTCTGTATGAGGAGATTTTCTCGACGGCCTTCGGCTCCGGCTCATCCATTCCGAACTTCGGTTCTGCATCGGCCGGCGCCGGAGACGACGCCGGAGCTGCCTCAGCTTTGACGACCTCGACAGCCATTTTTTTTCTGCCTCCGATTGAGTTTTTCTTCAGATGAAAATACGAAAAATTGGAAGAATAATTCAAGAAATGGTGGTTTATTTTTTTTCTAGCAATTTTTCTTTCTCCGGTCGAGTTTTCTTCGGAAGAATAATGGAAAAAAAAAAAAATTGGGGATTTTTTTCGAGATTGTGCTTTTGAGTAAGTCAGAGAGAGAGAGGGTGGCAACGGTTATGTATAGGGGTGTGTTGTTGACTTGTTGTGTGGGTGGAGGGTGGGTCCCACAACGGTCATATGTTAGTTGTCAGGCCCATGTTCGGAGCCGTTATGGAGATTCATTTTGTTGTGTGATATGATTAGTTTAGTCGTGAATTGGGCTGTGCCAATCTGGACTCCACCGCAGATTCGATTGCCTAAATTTGGGTTGGGCCCTTAGGTGGATATATTTTATTTTTGACTGTGTGTAATGATTTGATTGTGCGGCTACTTTATTGAAGCCCAATCTGTCATTTCTTTTCTTTTTAATATATATAGACGATGATAATTTTTTAATTATATAAAATACTCTTTGGTGTTAATTCTTACTAGAATTTATTTTTAGCATGTGTAAATGACATCACACAAATAAATATAAAATCATATACTAAATTACACCAACTTAAATTTATTAGAACCCTACATAAATCAATATGTTTTTCTACATAAATATATGATTTTTTTTAAAGTTATGCTAAATCAAATTAAAAAGTCATTGCCCGTTAATGAATGAATTTATTGCCAATAAAATTTTTATTTTATTGGCAATTAAAATAAATTCCAAAAAAAAAATTCCAAAAATCATTTTGAATCCCATCAAGGCACATNGCTGCTCATTTCCTTTAATAACTATAATCACACTTTTTTTTTAATAACTATAATCACACTTCTACCAAACGTTCTTTATGACTTGAGTGAGTAAATGGTTAGATCATAAAGTTTTTGGTTCATAAACTGATAAATATGGTTGGACCAATTGGTTAGCCCGAAAACCAAAACACAAGAAGCGGCCCAAACTAAACGGAACGAGTCGACTCGCACGCACCACTTCTTAACAATCTCCGCACAAAATTTGTAACTACATAGTACATACTTTGTCTTGTGATGATGATCAGAGAGACCATCTCATAAACAATGGCGGTTTTTCAAGAAATTCAGTCCGACCATGCCTCGCCCAAAAGACGCCGCGCAGATAACATACCCGACCATCATCCCAAGTTTGACGACAATAAAAAAAATCCTCATCCATGGCCTTCGCAGCCTTTCAGGTTCTTCATTTTCTCTCGGATTTTTGGCCCCAACATAACTAACTCTTCAGACCCACTGCAAATTTCAACATCATTCTATGGGTTTTCTTTTTCTTTTTCTTTTTCTCCTTTTTGTTCACCTTGCATTTGTCCTTTTTTTCTCTCTGGTTGATTTGAATATGCTGACAAAAGTTCGATTCTTCCCAATTTGTTTGGTTTTCTTTAATTAATATAAAAGATCAAATCTTGCGCATAACTTTACTTGCCCTTTGTGATTAGACTGTGGTCTTGCATTGAAAAAAAAATAAAAAATATTATACTACAACAATTTACACCATAAATATGCGGTTACATGATGTCCTGTCAAATGGGAGAGGCCTAAAACTGAAGTGATTTTTGAAGTTGCATGTAGTCCTGAAAATGGCTCAGGATGAATTAGTTATTCTTACTCTGATCATTCGATTAATTTCTACTGTTTAGGATACAGCGTGAGGCGTCCAAGATTTTAAGTCCAAGAGATGTTAATCCGAAAAATCCCCAGCTGCAAATAAGTGCTCACGACTCCTTTGTCTTGACTAAAAGCCACAAGATCATAGAATCTCTTCCAGGCACATTTAAACAAAATCTTGTGGTATATGATGAAGGTGATATGAAGTACAACATGATCTTATCGAATCCTATGCCCGGAAAATGTGTAAGATTCTCCATTTCTGAAGATTGGGGAAAGTTTGTTAAGGTTCACAATCTGAAAGCTGGTGATAGGGTCTCGTTTCACAGTGTTCCGGAGGAAAATGTTTATGATGATTACTGTTACATTGTTAAGCATGTTAGGAATTATCCTAGTAAGGATATTGGTAACCAGAATACGAAGAAATTGAGTGGTGCTGGCCGAAAAGTGGAGCATGATAAGAAAAAGGCTGGGACAAAAAAGGCACTTGAGCGGAAAAAGCTTATAGGTGATCATGAAAAATTGCCACTCGGAGTTGGGCATCAGGAAGCTGTCTCACCGGAATATAGAACTGTTAAAAAGAAAGGAATTTGAAAGGGCCAGATTTAAGGTACCGATATTTCTATATGAATCTTCCTAAAATTGCCGCATTAATGTTAAAGGGCCAGATAATGTTACCAATATTTCTTGATGAATCTTCCTGAAATTGCTGCTTGACTATAACATTTGTATATATCTATACACGGACTTGTTTAAGTAGTTTGTCCATGTTTCTTGATTAGATAATTCCTGTCATGTACTTCGCATTGCCTTCTCGTTATCGTATAATATTAGGTGGTAGGAAAAGGGGACTTTTTCTTATTTTAAAGAAATTTTTATTCTTCATGATAGTTAATGTCTTTTGTTGTATTATATCAAGACATCTGAATTACAAGTTCTTTCTCGCACAATGTTTCGTAGATGAAAATATATCAACACTGTTTTCATGACTCCGGTTACTAAGTTTCGTACGGTTTAATGTTTTTTATTCCCCACGTATGCACCTTTTCCCACAACATACGCTTTTTTAAATGTGCGATTGGTTTTGATTATTTCTTATTCTACTGAAAGGCCTGAATTTATATTGTTATGTTTCATTCCATACTGTTATTGTGAAAGTATTCTTCATGGAAGAGCTATGACACGTGAGGCCTACTGCTTGTCCAAGACTCTAACTTCTGTCGAAGTCGTTCGAAAAAAACCGAGGCTATACTTTGATCCTTATGATGCAAGCGTCTTAGCAGATTGTCCCAACATTGGAAGACATCCTCTCATGAAATGCTCAAAAAAATTATCTGTATACGATGGAGAAAATAGAAGATTCCTTTTTAATTTACGGGACTGCACGAGTGGCGGGGTAATCAGGAGCTACTGTATTGATAATGACTGGAAAATCTTTCTTAGGAAGCACAATTTGAGAGAAGGCGATGTGCTCACGTTTTACAGGTTCCGAGAAGCAGGTGTTTTTAAACTTAAATACTACTATGTGCTTAAGTATTTCAGAAAGCCCCTGGATGTTGTTGATCGGTTAAAAAGTAATGAGGATAGAATGGAAAAGATCTTTGATGGGCAAAAGAGAATTGTGCTGGGGCCTGATTCTAGGTACTTATGATTTTCGATTTTCGATTTTCCTCTCTATATTGCATTTATTATAAGGATGTTCTTTGTCTATTGATGCATGGATGGTCCATGGATTTGTTGGGGAATTTGTGGATGTTAAAGTGGAATGAAACCTTTTCATAAACATTGTTATATTGATAGTTGAAATGCGAAGTAGCTAAGGCAAGTGAAACTTTTGTGGTGATTAGGATCTTCATGAAGGATTTAAGTGCGGTAGACTGCCACACTTACATTGAAGTCATTGTACGTGTTTGTTGAAACACAAGCTCTTCTCATTCATAAATATAAAAGTACAACTGTTTGAAAGCTGAATTAATTTTTACATATCACCAGTTTGATGATATTTTCTTTCCTTCTTTTTCCCTTCCTTGAGTAATTTAAGCAAAATAAACTCATTGTGTATGTAGACATTTGTAATTTAAAAGAGATCTATTTTTCTTTGTGCTTTTCTTCTGATTAGGCGAAACTTCCATGTGTCAATTTAAAGTTATCTAGTCAATTTCTATATTATGCCTAGCAATGTTTACATGATTAATATTCCCATGATTGACGGGAGTTTTAGCGTCTGCTTCTATTCTAATTGTGGACTTCATTTAAATAAATATAAAAAGCTGGGTAAAAATTGCAAAACATGGATTGACAAAATGGTCCTGCAAATAAAACTGCTCTAATCTGGTATCAATAATTTTCATTTTCGATTGGACATTGAATTTATTTCCGAATGCTCTTCTCCATTTTCACTTACTCTGTTTTCTCTCCTTCTACAATCTGCAGTGCCTCCTGCTTTTATAAGACTCTAACCTCCATAGAAGTCGTTCAGAAAAATCCAAAGCTTTACTTTGATCCTCACGATGCTAGCGTTTTAACCAACTGCCCTGAGATTGGGAGACGCCCTCTCGGCCAATGTTCCAAGTGGCTTTCAATATTTGATGGGAAGAATAGAAAATATAAGATGAATTTGCAGCACTGCATTAGTGGCGGGGAAATAAGGAGCTTCTGCATTAGTATGGGCTGGAAAAAATTTCTTCGGGCCCACAACTTGCGAGAAGGGGACGTATTAACATTCTATAGGTTCCGAGTCGAATGTGGTGATTCTGAGCTCAGATACTACTATGTGCTCAAGTACTTTAGGAAGCCTCCAGATGTTGATCGATATAAGAATGAAGTTGGCCAAGAAGATGAGTAGAAAAATTAAAGCTAGGTAATTTTAGATAATGCTGGTGCTTACGATAATGTTTTTTTGGTTTATGTTTTTTAGTTTGTTTTGTTTTAAGAATGTTTCTGCAGTGGTGCATGACATTGTTGGTGAAATTGTAGAATTTATGCAGTCATGCGCGCTCATGAACGTTGTCTGAGTTGATTGCTGAGAGACGATGTAGGTAATTAAGACAAGCGTCTCAAGCTTTGAATGATGGCAATGGTTTGTCATTTTGAAGATTTGTAGCAGTAATGAAAATTGACGACCCTTGCGGTTTTACCTAATTGCTTAAGAAACCTACATGTTCTTTTGAAATTGAAGAATCCTAGGTAGTTTTTGTTATCCTAATGAGAGAGAAAATTGCAATATGTTCCAAATTATTTCAATAAAAGTCCTGTATGAAGTATGGAGCCAAAGAAGTTGCTATTTCTGAGTCGTCGGAAAGTTGCTAGAAAAGTAGACGTATCACCGAACTACTGATTTGGAGTCCATTTTTTTTTTTTCTCCCAACGATAGAGAACTCCATTAATAACGAAAAGGAACAACAAAGAGTACAACCCCCGAGAGGACAAACACTGAGAGACACACTTCAACAGTGGTTTAGAAGCAACAACCCACAACACGACTAAAGCAGGGACAAACGGCCGGAACCCTTTAGCCGGTTTAATCCACCAAACACCTAAATACCACATCCTAAAGCTATCTCACATAAAGCTCAAAACCACAACAACACATAAAGACTACAGGTGTACTTACACACAACAACACATTTAAAGAGAAAATTACCCCCTGCACCTCCAAACATTTTTATATGTACATATTTGCAAGACATAAAACTTATATTCCTTTTGAAGCTTGAGGCTACCAAGAAAACGAATTATCTGATATTAAAATTCCACATTTCAGTTATTTTAAATATGATTGATTAATTAATTAATGAATTAAAAAAGGTAATAAAGTTAATATTGGGAAACGTCTTTCTTCTTCACCATTTCTACTTTCCAAAACAATTTGTCTCTCCTCTTGCTCAGTTTGAACGAAATCAAACCCCACAAATAATCATCTATCTTTTTTGTTGGGAAACTGCTTTGAATATGTTGTTGGGGTTATTTGTCATGTTTCCTGTCTATTAAATCTACTTTTTTTTTTTTGGATATTTCACGTTTATCTTATGCTTAGTATTATTAATTTACAAACTAATTTTTTGATTTTCTCTCTAGTGTTTTTTTATTTTTTATTTTTTATTTTCAAGTTTATCTTTCCAGTTTGGATATTTGGTTTGTTTATCTTTCAAATATTTTGTATTCACTATACTTTTTTTTATGGAAAATGTAAAAATTAAAAATACCTCAATTCTTCAATAATAAAGCAACATATTTATTATTTAGACGGTTGTTAGAAGGTTTAGTTTAGGATTACTTTCTTCCATTGAACCAGGAACATGAAAAAAATTATAAACTAATAACAACCTATCCAACCAACTTAATTCGAAAAATTAAAAACGATGTAATCATAATAAACATTGAAACTTAATGTCTATTGTGTTTATCAATTGTATGGAATTTCAATATTTTTTTAACTGTTTTTATTTTTACCTAAGAATAATAACATATCGAAAAATCATGAAGTACCATTACATAACATCAATATACTTATAAATATCCATACCCAGTAAACAAAATTTAGTTTCAAACCTTAATCCAAACCAACAAAATAAAAAAAACATGGATGTGAAAGTTCTGGCAGAGGTTGTTTTGACAGTAACTATGAGGCAAACCTTGAAACTTGCAAAAGAATAGCTTATCAGCTTCCATGGCGAGTTGAAAACTTCAGTCAATCGAGGTTCGCGAGCGCTTTGGGATCATTGATTGCCTCGCAATTTTTCGAAACGGATATTTCGCTTTCTCTTTTCCTCTCTTTGGTATCTCCTTCCGTCCGTTCAATTTTGGCGTCAATCACTGAATGAATGGAAGACCTATTATTTCAGAGATTTCACTTCCATTCATTACGTCTTTTTGCCACACATAAACACAACAACCACAGCCGCTTTACACACAACAACACAAAAAGCCCAAAAACACACCTAAATCTATCCCACATAAACCTGTACACACCCACCAACAGCAAAACAGAAACTACAAAACATAAAAGCTTAAAGACTATAAGAAAAGAGCTTTTCATTCACGATAGCAAAGCCAAACTCAACCCGGAAATTAAAGGCTCTCCTTTATGTACGCAATCGAACGCATTTCGAGGTCGGTCGACTCTGTAGTGCTGTGAAGGTCACCGGTCGCGGCTCGAGGTCGGATGCAGAGGAGGGTCACTGGAAGTCAGATGTGAGCTCGAACTCGCCGGGATGTCTCGAAATGCCGATGAGTTTCACGGACGATGCGGCGCTGGAACGGAGAGAGTATTTGGGGGTCGCAACCTTGGGTTGCTCTGGCCGTCGGAATTCGAGGTTCGCTGCTTGTGGCCGGACGACACGTTTGCCATGTTTGTCTCGTCGAAGGAAACAGTTGCAGAAAAGGATTTTCGCGAGTGAAATTGAGGGTGAGATGCGGAGGGAGATCTTAGGGCTGGCTGAGGATTTTAAAGGAGAAGGATTGGCTGTAAAAAAATCCCGATGGACCTGCTGAAATTTGGGGAAGAGGAGAGATTTGGGGAGGAAATTTGGGAATAGACGACTGATTCTATTTAATTATCTTCTTACTTAATTAGGAGTTAATAAATTAGATTTGGTTAATTAGCAAAATAATAGTTAAAATTGTTAAAAAAATCCGCATAACTTGTTAAAAGTCGTTAAAAAAGGCAAAAAAATTTGAACAGATATTTGTGAAATTTGTGAACAAACAAAATTCCACAAAATCCGATATCATTTGTTAACAACATTCGAATTATTTGTGGAGCCAAGATTGACGTGATTTAATTTTTTATTAATTTTATGTTAATTTGTGGGGCCCTTTAATATTACTTATATTAGTAAGTCAAAATATTATTTTTTAAGTCAACCATACTATTTTTGTATTTTTCCAACAACCTCTTTATATTACTATAGATTGACTTATCATCTAATTTTACTAAACACTTTTATTATATCAACTAGTTTTTTTCGCCATAAGTAATAATCAACCGGCTTTAAGCTCGAAATTCATTTATAAGCTATTAGCTAACATATCAACTATCAACTAGTTTTACCAAACGTATCCTTAATCTAAATTAAATTCAATTTATCTTGGGATAAAATAAGATTCACATAGTGCTGATTGAATATAACATGAATTGAAATAATTTTTACTAATATAAATTTAACATTGTCGAAAAAGTAAGACCGAGTCGAAGCCCACCTAGCCTTTGGGATGGCTCCGTCCTTGGTCTCTGGTATGGGAGAGTTTAGCTTCTTCTCTCTTGGCTTTTTCATATTCACATAATTATTATCTTTTCAGAATTCATGATTTGAGCGTCGTATGTCTATTGTAAAAAATATTTTCGACGTGTTTGTTCGAGGTCATCCTGTTGATCGGTCCAAAGATACATCAGATTGGAACTTTTTTACAACCATTTTTGTATCAAAAATATTTTATTCTTAGTCCAATTTTACCATCTACCATAGGTGACAACATTTTATGAGAAAATCTATATCCATTGCCCCATTAAAACGGCTTCTCAGAAAATACAATAGTGTTGGGCCATAACGTATCAAGTACACTAGTTAGTCTAGTTTGGCAAATGAACTACAATTAGGCCCAAATATTTATGGGTCAAATACCTTTCTGCCAGCCCCTAGAGTTCCACACAAAACAAATTGTTTTGCTGGGCAACATTGTCATTTTGATGCATTGTTATTCTACGGAAATTCTATGGAGCCATCGATGACTCCCTTATTAGTCATCCATAACTTTATGCGTTGACACATGTTCAATGTGTATTTAGTACACGACACATGTCAATACACTATTTGTGAATAATTATGGATGGCTCCATAAGCCAAGACATCCGATGGCTTTATAGCAAAACCGTTTTATTCTATTTAGTAATTAGACTATTAATTTACAAAATATTAATATTTTTGTTGTACATTCAAATTACTAAAAATATATTTAATAAATCTACCTGAAAAGTTAGAATTTTTTAACATCTCACAAGTTAGTTTTGAACTTATAGCTAACAATTTTCTAAAAGTTGGTTGATATAATAAAAGTCTTTTGCAAAAATTAACTTTATAGGTAGCTAAAACAAAACTCTCAATGATTTTTAAAATGGTATCCCAACACGAAAAATGCTACATTGCCAACCTAGTGTACAACTAGGTTGACAATACAAGTGAAAAACATCCAAAAAAATAAAAATTAAAAATAATCAAATTGATGTTTCAACTTGTGTTGTCAACATAGTTGTACATTAGGTTGGTAATATAACATTTTTCTTATTCCTATTTTAAAACAGACATACAACACCCATATCTCAGGGAGGGGGTGTTGTGTTTCTTGGAACGGAGTCCAGTCAAGGAGAGGTAATATTAATTAATCACTTGCCATTAATATGATGGGAAATGGGATGTTATCTAACTATCATAGACTATAGATGGGTATGAAAATGATATGCACTTCCCTTTACTTAGATATTAATGGCATGATTAATATAATATAATGAAATTTGATAAGAATGAAATAAATTGAAAAATAAAATGATTATGGGAATGAATGAAATAAGTTTTCTATTCATTACTTTTGAGTTTTACCCGATTCCTTCTCATTTAATTAAACTATCTTTCGACGAGCTATCACTATGACTAACTTAGGGCATCCACATCCGTTTAACACAAAAATCATTCATTCAATCAAATAGTAACTCTTTCTCTCATCCACATCATCTTTCCACTAAATCTCTCTCCATTTAAACACATACCCACATTCCTATACATTCATTTAAATACATATGTGGGACCCATTGTCCATTCATTCAATATAATTTTTTATATTCTATTCTTAATAAAAATAAATTTTAATATTTTTAAATTATAATAACAAATTTTAAATGCATGAAAATGAAAGAACATTACAAGACCAAAATAACTTAAATTAAGATTACACAATAAAAAAATAGTACAATTACAAAATATTTTTTTTAGTTGTTGGCAAAATGAGTCCAAATATGTTCAATATTGGGAAGTGTGATGTAGATAAAAAATGAATTAATATAAAAAAAAATACGATAAAACAAAAACAAAAAAATAAAATAAAGGGATGCTGAACGCGTTCAATGGAATGAACGCAATTGAGGGCCCCGCAGATAAA